GTCTAGTGTAAAAGGTTTATAGCACATTGGCTTCTCTGTTAACAACATGTCACCTGTTTGAGACATTCCAATTGACCACCTAAATGTACTTAAAATTTAACCAAAAAAAAGGGTATAATTTAGTTTTATTATTTATAAATTTATGCTTAATTTTAAAATTAAAAAATACAAAATAAAATTTAAAATGAAATTCAATACAAATATTTCACTCACTTATTTAATATACATAATGTAAAATATAAAAAGAAAATAGCTAATTTTTCATAGCATGACAATAATACTAATGTCTCCCTGGATTAGAAAATTCCCCATGAATGCTTGGTGTATATTATGTTAAATTCTCAATTTGAGTGCATGCTATGCATTTTTCCCAATTTGTTTGGTACCAGGCACGATTAACAAAGTAGGGGGGAAAATGCTGACACTGGGACCAGTGACTTTTCATAGCAATCAGTGACTGCTAAGTAGCAATCTATGACTTTACAAAGCAACCAATGACTCCCATAGCAACCATTTACTTTCCATAGAAACTAGTGATATTTCATACTAACTGGAGACTGCCATAGCAACCATGACTTTCCATGATGAAATTGACTTCCCTTAATAAACAGTAATTTCCATAACAACCCTTGAAATACATTTCTCAAGAACATACATGTACCTATTATTTCTACCAGCATCAACTTGATCCTTAGTAACCAGTGGTATCCATAGCAACTAGTGACTTTTTTTCCAAAGCAACCTTTATCTTTCCATAGCAACTGTTGACTTTCTTTTCTTTTCATATCAGTTACAGACTTTTCATAAGAACCTGAGTGACTTCCATAGCAAAATTTTATTTTCTAAAGCAACCAGTACCATTGACTTTCATAGCAACCTGCTGGTCAGCCGGAATGGTAGCCACTGCAGCCTTTACTACCAGTAAAGAGCCAGGCTTTATTGTAAGCTAACAAAATTGATGATGGAAGTTTTATATATGAAAGCTAGACAAAGTCTATTTCAGAAATTTAGCAGGTTTAGCATTTATCTGTATTTATTTACTCTTATTATTTTTCCTAAAATTTAAATACTATAACACATTTGAATTAGTTTGTAGTGGTACAACAGTTAAAAAATAGTTGCTTAAAATTTCAGGGTCCAAGCCTGTAAACTGAGCCAAGCAAAATAGATGTGATGGAGGAGACAAGTGATAACAAACTAATCAAAAGAAGAAAATGTAAGTGAATTGACTATCAAGTACAAGTTGTTTTAGTGTTTAAGGGATTTTAGGGTTTTAACTTCTGCATGAATGATAGGATTTCAAAATGAATTGGTTAATGCAGCCACCATTAGTAGATGATGTTTTGCGTGCTGTACTTAAGTCCCTCGGTCAAAGTCATAGCAGTGATGCATTATGTCAGGCATGAGCAGGTACCTGAGTAGATAAACCAACATTCTGTAAGCTTGTTTGATTTATGTAGTTTCCTCACATGAAAGTACACAGAGTCATCAGTGGTATTCAAACTCAGAGCAGTGAGTTGCAAGTGATTTGAAGTCAACTTATCTAAGCCAAGCACACCCCATTGTCTGCTTATCTAAACTCTGTTCTTTGAATTGAATATACATCAAATATCTGATATTGGTTGAGATAGTATTGTTCCAGTTACTACAGCATTCCTTTGGACCACATTAAATATGCATTTGTTAATTGTTATAATGTAAATATTAACCACATTTCAGGTCATTATCTTGGATAAAAAATGGTTACCTTCAACAACTAGATATACTGGTCACAGTTAAATTAAGTAAGTACTTGTACAATATCTACAAAATGTGCTAAAATGATACTTTAGACAGTACTTTACCAAATACAATTCTCTTCGCCTGTTTTGTTCATCAACCATGTGAAACTCTATAGTCATCACAGTCCTCTTGTCTTGAGGAAATTTAAGGATCAATTACTCTTTTATATATCACCTCTAAAGAGAGCATATATTTTATTAAGTAAAAATAGCTTGGCCCTATAAAGAAATTTGTCAATGATTCCTGTCCTTAACCTCTCACTTACACAAAAAATAATGATGCAATAAAAAATTTTTTATATGGACTATAATTAATATGCAATTGTAGATATAAATTATTATTAATCTTAAGTTTAGTTAGAAAATTTGTTTGAATTATTTGGCCTCTAAATAAATGTCTGTCTTTTAAAGGCAATGCATATCTTATTCAGAATTTAAATTTATTTAAGAATTATCATATGAAGTACTTTATTTATCAAATTTTGAAATATAAAAAAAGTAAAATAGTTTTTTTGTTTATTTTCAGATATTGTTGTCAAGAAGATTTTCCCTATTCATCATAGAGGAGCAGAAACATGTTTGGATGGAACATGTGCTTAAACTTTGCATAAGTTTTGTTGAAACTTTCATTTGATATACTGAAGATGGTTGTTGAATATTGTTTGTTAACAATATCTATATGGCCGTATGGCTGTAAAGAGAGATGTTGAAAGGTGCAATTTTAGTGCAAAAATGTGCATGTTTAACAACATGTTGAATGAACAAACATTATAATGCAGTAAAACACTAGGAATCATTATGTTTTCAAAACTTATATAACAACTTAGTAAATGTGTTGGAATGTCCATATATCCATCCACCAAAAGGAGGTATCTACATGTTAGTGAAACTTAATACATTATAGATGGATAAATCTCATTGGGGAGAAATGATGTGTTGAATTTTAATATGCCCGAAACAATTTCGGGCATATTATGTTATACCCCTGGCATCTGTTCCTCCGTACGAACCCAGAGGTACTTGTGTGACTGGGTAACAGTATATAAATAACACATGGGTTTGTTGGTAACTGTAAAAATATCATCCCGAGGAAAATACTGTTACCCGAGGATGATTGTCCATATTATTAATAGGTAGAAGACACCTATTGATTTTGAGGTCACAAGATCAAAAAGGTCAAGAACTGAAAACAGTTTCCGGAGCATAACTTAAGTTCCATTTGGCACACAGTGTTCAAACTTCATAGTATGATTGTCCATATTGGGTAGAAGACCTCTATTGATTTTGGGGTCACAAGGTCAAGGTCACTATTGCCTTAAAACTGAAAACAGTTACCGGAGCATAACTTAAGTTCCATTTGGCCCACAGTGTTCAAACTTCATAGGATGATTGTCCATATTGGGTAGAAAATCCCTATTGATTTTGGGGTCACAAGGTCAAAGGTCAAGGTCATTATTACTTTAAAACTGAAAACAGTTTCCGGAACATAACTTAAGTTTCATTTGGCCCACAATATAAAAACTTCATAGGATGATTGTCCATATTGGGTAGAAGACCCCTATTGATTTTGGGGTCACAAGGTCAGAGGTCAAGATCATTATTACTTTAAAACTGAAAACAGTTTCCGGAACATGACTTAAGTTCCATTTGGCACACAGTATTCAAACTTTATAGGATGATTGGCCATATTGGGTAGAACACCACTATTGATTTTGGGATCACAAGGTCAGAGGTCAAGGTCACTATTACTTTAAAAGTGAAAACAGTTTCCGGAGAATAACTTAAGTTCCATTTCGCCTAGCGGTGCTCTTGTTAGTTTTCAGCTCAATTTTTTTTTAAGAATAAAAGAGTGTGAGCTATTGCTATGTACAGTCATGCCTTACTTTCTTGTTGTCATCCTAAAACTTTAACATTTTCTCTTCACAACAACCCTTTTGACAAGACCTTCAAGTAGACCAGACTGAACTTGAGTCTTAAAATATCTTGACCTTCCAAGTCACGGTGTCAAATGTTTAAACTATCAATTTTGCTTGATATTTGCTTTATTTGGCTGTAACTTTGTTATTCTTTTCAGCTCACCTGAGCTTGCTCAGGGTGAGCTTTTTAGGATCGTTTAATGTCCATTGTCCGTCCAAATTTGTTCGTTAACACTCTTGCGGTCACATTTTTACCTCAATCATCATCAAATTTTGTCACGATGCTTGTCTATGTAATTGCTTATATGCGTTTGAACATGGGTCATCTCAGATGAAAAACTAGGTCACAGGAGCTAAAAATAGAAAAATCTTGTTAACACTCTAATGGCTACTGTTTTCATCCAAATATCCTGGACTGAAAGTTTGTTTTGATGATTTTTATGTCAAATTTGAATATGGGTCACCTGGGGTCAAAAAACTAGGTCACACTGCTCAAATATGGAAAATCCTTGTTAACACTCTAGTGGTCACATGTTTGACTCACCTGTCATAAAACTTGGTCAGGATGCTTGTCTAGGTAATTGCTCGGATGAGTTCAAACATGTGTCATCTCAGATGAAATACTAGGTCACAGGAGTTTAATATAATATGGGTTTGATGGGTCAGGTGAGCGATCTAGGGCCATTTTGGCCCTCTTGTTGGCTGTAACTTTGTAAGTAATCAATGGAGTATTTCAAACTTAGACAAAACAACCATTTGGACAAGACATGCTGAAATGTTGAACAGACCTTGACCCTGAGCTTTAAATCACATTGACTGTCAAGTTCAAATTATTGAATTTTGGTTAAGTTGTCATGAGGGAATGGTTCCCTCTTGCCAGTAACATGGCTCTAAATTTCTATATTACTGCATTTTATTCTATCAAATTGTTATACATGATCTGTTTTGTTAAGGGAACGGTTCCACTTTAGAAAGTTTGTTATAGATAAGTTTTGAAATTTATTTTTTATTTTGAGGAGGGAATGGTTCCCTCTTACTGGTAACCTGGCTCTAAATTTCTAAATTATTGCATTTTATTCTATCAAATTGTTATATCTATTTTGTTAAGGGGGAACAGTTCCACTTTAGAAAATGTGTCATATATAAGTTTGAAATTTATTTTTTATTTCGGTGAGGGAAGGGTTCCCTCTTACCATTTACATGGCTCTCAATTTCTAAATTATTGCATTAATTGTTATATCTGTTTTGTTAAGGGGGAAACAGTTCCACTATAGAAAATGTGTCATATATAAGTTTTAAAATTTATTTTTTATTTCGGTGAGGGAAGGGTTCCCTCTTACCGTTTACATGGCTCTCAATTTCTAAATTATTGCATTAATTGTTATATCTGTTTTGTTAACGGGGAACGGTTCCACTTTAGAAAATTGGTAAGTGATAAGTTTTGAAATTTATTTTTTATTTTGATGAGGGAACGGTTCCCTCTTATGGGTAACCTTGCTCCAAATTTCTATAATTATTGCATTTTATTCTATCAAATTGTTATTTCTGTTTTGTTAAGGGGGAACGGTTCCATTTTAGAAAATGTATCATACTTTAGTTTATAAAAAAAAAAAAAAAATTTCGATGAGGGAACGGTTCCCTCTTACCATTTACATGGCTCTGAATTTCTAAATTATTGCATTTTATTCTATCAAATTGTTATATCTGTCTTGTTAAGGGGGAACGGTTCCACTCTAGAAAATGTGTTATAAATAAGATTTGAAATTTATTTTCTATTTCGATGAGGGAACGGTTCCCTCCTACCGGTAACCTTGCTCCAAATTTCTAAATTATTGCATTTTATTCTATCAAATTGTTATTTCTGTTTTGTTAAGGGGGAACGGTTCCATTTTAGAAAATGTATCATACTTAAGTTTTTAATAAAAAATTATTTCGATGAGGGAACGGTTCCCTCTTACCATTTACATGGCTCTGAATTTCTAAATTATTGCATTTTATTCTATCAAATTGTTATATCTGTCTTGTTAAGGGGGAACGGTTCCACTCTAGAACTGTGTTATAAATAAGATTTGAAATTAATTTTCTATTTCGATGAGGGAACGGTTCCCTCCTACCGGTAACATGGCTCTAAAATTCTAAATTATTGCATTTTATTCTATCAAACTTTTGAACCTGTTTTGTTAAGGGGGAACGGTTCCACTTTAGAAAATGTGTAAGAGATAAGTTTTGAAATTTATTTTTTATTTCGATGAGGGAACGGTTCCCTCTTACCGGTAACATGGCTCTAAATTTCTATATTACTGCATTTCATTCTATCAAATTGTTATACATGTACCAGTTTTGTTAAGGGGGAACGGTTCCACTTTAGAAAATTTGTTATCTATAAGTTTTAAAATTATTTTTTATTTCAATGAGGGAACGGTTCCCTCTTACCGGTAACATGGCTCTCAATTTCTATATTACTGCATTTCATTCTATCAAATTGTATACATGTACCACCAACTGTTTTGTTAAGGGGGAACGGTTCCACTTTAGAAAATTTGTTATAGGTCAGTTTTGAAATTTATTTTTTATTTTGAGGAGGGAACGGTTCCCTCTTACCATTTACATGGCTCTAAATTTCTAAATTATTGCATTTTATTCTATCAAATTGTTATATCTATTTTGTTAAGGGGGAACGGTTCCCCTTTAGAAAATATGTTATGATAAGTTTTGAAATTTACTTTTTATTTCGATGAGGGAATGGTGCCCCCTTAAGCATAATGTATCTCTTATTACTGAAAAAAATTGCTTTTTATTGATCAAAACATGTTGTATTCTGTACATGGCTTTTGTTCTTCGGGGGAACGGTTCCCCCGAAAACATTTGCAAAAGAAACAAAAAATAAAATTTGGATGTTTACTTTAGCTGTTTGTCTTTTACTTTTCACAAAACAATACCATTACTTTAGCTGAAAATAATGTAAAAATAGTGCATTAAAAAGGGGAACGAGTGTATTTCCCCTTTTTAAAATATATCGAGTTTTATGTTAATATCACATTTTATTCAGTTGAATTATTAGACATTAAGTAACTTTACAGATGAGAAAACTCTATTGAAAGCTATCATTAAATATGTATTTCTCTTAATTTCATTTAATATTTTAGTTAATAAAATTTCACTTACGAATTTTTTGTATCGTCATACATTGAATGTATTATAAAGCAACACTTTTTTGCACATTTAAAATAAATATATGTCTGCAGGTACATGTGACTCTGAACCAAATGTTTCTTTCAACAAATGATATTTGCAAGCACGTTTTTAAATGAATAAGTTTAAATGAACACTTAACAATGTCTTTATTTTTTATTTTGAAAATATAGAATTATTGAAAAATCATAATGTTTACAACTATTTATAATATTGTAGGAGCTCTCCGTATGTCTAGTAGAATCTGTTTTTTTACTGCAGCAAAATAATTTAAAGCATCTTATGTACTTAAAGCTGCATGCCTCCAGATAAGCGAAACTATTTCAATAAAATCTAACTTGAGAAATATGTACTAAGATGTTAGGAAAAGTAAACTTATTCAAGATTTAAGTGATAATTTACATGTAATGTGCGATAAATGTATTTATAACTATATATCTACTGCGTTACTAACGCAGTAAGGGCTATTTTTGCATATTTCGTCCTCTTATTAGTAATTTACGCGGTTGTAAGTTCCATTGATAATGTGTAAATTGCTTCCTTTTGGTTATTTCACAAAATAATACTTTTAAACACATTTTCAAAATTTTCATGAAAATTAGCATAAATCTGGGGGAGTGCTGCTTTAAAATAAATAAGGCACACATGTTTTAAAATGCATACTGTGTAACTTCATCATTGCAAAGTTTTACATGTGCAAAATAAGATAAGTCTGCATATTTTAATCATGCGAAATATTTAGGTGTATACATCGCCCTTTTATTTTCAATTTGTTTGACACATGTAAAATTAATTATAATATTCAGTTTAAAACAAATACTTTAGGTCAAAAGCAACAGTTGGAATCTTATCTCGGAATACAAATGGAAACATCCGAAAGACAGTACGGTAGAAACCAGTTAATTATGAATGTGTCGGGATAAAAAGGAAAAATGAAAATATTCGTTTATCTTATTTTTCGTTTATTGTTGGGAAACGTAATGTCGAAGACATATCTCTTGTCAAAGAATTTGGTATATTTACGGCTTTAGCATCATCTACCTAGATAAAAAAGTATATTTTTAATTTTAAACATTTTTTATTCAACGGACATTTAATGGCAAGAAACAATCATGTTGAAGAATTTGAAATATTTGTAAAAATTGTAACCATCTATACAGTTCAATAATTCAAGTCACTTAAAATTCAATAACAGTAGTTCAATAATTCAAGTCACTAAAAATTTAATAATAGTATGGTAATATTCTATATTATATTCATATTGATTATTTTTTTATATATAGACTATGTACATTGATTAGATTTAAATGAATAAACAATAAATACATATTTTATGTTTTTTAAACAGTCATTGCTAAAAAAATTGTCCGTGTATTTTTTTACTAGAACTTGTTTCAACATATCAACGTAATGGACCAGCTATTCTTATAACACATTTATACCATCTTTTTATACTACTTGAACGTCTTGAATAGGGGAACATCCTAAAAGTAATTAAAAGAATAATAAGAACCAAAATAAATAAATAAACAAACGATTAAATAAATAAATAAATAAAATAATTAATTGAACTGGATTAATTAAGATAAATTAAGTATATTTATATCCGAAACATATCTTCAACACCAGCTTTAGCAGTATTCAATCTTCAACGATTCAATAATAATACATAGCGAAGATGAGGAAAGCTACGTGGCGACCTTTATATATGTATCGAAGGCTATTAAGTGCAATTATAACATCTTTGTAAATCGCAACCAGTACTTTATCAAAAGTAGTGTCATAATACGATACTACGTATAAATTAAAAGAAATGAGGTCAGACAAATTAGATACAGACATCAGATACATACGCCTGATACATCCCTAGATCTGATTAACCCCATCTCTATGTTCTTTTCTATTTCTAAATTAAAACATCTTTTAGGTAAGTTAATTTTTGAACCATTAACTTTGTGTGTGTAACAGTTGCAATGAATCATTTGCAGAAGAAGTAAATGATCCAGGAACATTTATAAAATCACAGTAAATTAAAAAGCATAAAAAATATGATTTTATAATTAATTGTTTTAAGAATATACATTTATATTTATTTTAATCCTAGCAGGAATGTAGTTGTTTTAAAAGTAATATGACAAAATATATTTGATTTAAAAATGCTGTGTTTACACAAATAAAGAATAAAAGAAATGCTTTTTTTATACATGTGTATGCGATGAAAGTACGATTGCAACATTAGTTTTCTGAAGTCAGTGCAATATAAATAGTTAACAATTTGCATTTAATGTATCTATAATTGGATATGCGTTGCCGTGTGCTGAAGCTGCAACAAGATAATAAAATAAATGCTTTATATTGGATAATGGTTAACATGTAATGATTTCTGTCACTGATTTATTATAATCATACTTCATTAGGTCTCTGAGCCAAATTCTAAATCTACCCAGCTTAAGAGCACAAATTTATCAACAAATGTAATTGAGACATTCTATCTACTATGATAAACTGTACTGTAACATAAATATTACTGACATTTATTTCTGCAATATCATTTGAAGCTTATAAAGCAGGTGCTTCCGCAGTTGTATTACTTTTGTGTTCATCCGCTAAGCTCATGAGCTCATATCAATAATCAATGTAAGACTGCAATCTACGATCATATCATCATCATTGTGCACCTCTATCTCAAACTTGATAAGCACTTCTATCCTTTTGTTATGGTTGAGATATGTGCAATGCTTTTTAAG